TGTGTGTTCTTTCAATCTTCAGGCCCTTGCCCGGCATGCCTGTGGTACAGTGGCCTATGGTACAGTGGCAGAGAGGGTAACGCAGACACTCAAATAATATCATCTCCCTTCTCAGGCCTTTGATAGGGTTGAAAATTAGATAGTTGTAGTTACTCTCCTTTTAAGATCTAGCCAAACCCATTTTCTATGTAAGACTTAGACTATATAGGACAATATATTTAGCTTGTTTATTGCATATTGCTTATGCTGGTTGTATTTCTAATTATAAATGATATCTGTTCCTAGTGCATATAGTTTTGTATTGGGTTTGGAACTCTCTTATTTAAACAAAAGGGGGAGGTGCTAGGGGAGCACATTCTGCTCTTTCAGCCAATAACCTTTAAGTAAAAAGCCCACTTGGGTGTGGCCCCTTATACTGTAAAAGCAGCTGTAAATGTATGCCCACTCTCTTACTTCTGGCTCCTTCTTCCACCTGCAAGACTCTGTTCCTGTTCACACAGAGGATTGTCTTGGAAAGTGATCTGTAAGTTTTCCTCATAAATGAACAACCGCTTTATTACTCATAATTCTGAACTGGTGTGGGATTGGAAAAAAGAAAGCATATCTAACAAATGGTACTGGCATAACTGGATATCAACATGAAGAAAAATGAAAATAGATCCATATCTGTCACCATGCACAAAACTCAATTCCAAATGAATGAAAGACCTCAATATAAAGCCAGTCACACTGAACCTCACAGAAAAGAAAGTGAGAAGTACACTTGTATGCATTGGCACGAGACCACTTTCTAAATATAACCCCAGTAGCACAGACACTGAGAGAAACAATAAATGGGATGTCCTGAAACTGAAATGCTTTTGTAAAGCAAAGGGCAGAGTCAACAAGACAAAATGGTAGCCTAGAGAATGAGAAAATATCTTCACTAAGCCCACATCAGACAGAGGTTTGATCTCCAAAACATACAGAGAACACAAGAAATTGGTCATCAAAAGAACAATAAAAATCTGGAGTACAGACCTAAACAGAGAACTCTCAACAAATGAATCTAAAATGGCTGAAAGACACTTAAGGAAATGATCAACATCTTTAGTCATCAGAGAAATACAAATCAAAACAACTCTGAGATTCCATCTTACACCTGTAAGAATGGCCAAGATCAAAAACACTAATGACAACTTATGCTGGAGAGGTTGTTGGGTAAAGAAAGCACACCTCAGTTGCTAATGGGAGTGCAATGTGGTACAGTTGTTTTGGGTATCAGGATGGTGATTTCTCAGAAAATTAGAAAACAACTTTCCTAGAGATCCAGCAATACCACCTTTGGGTATATATCCAAAGGATGCTTAACATAAGGACATGTGCTCAACTATGTTCATAGCAGCATTGTTTGTCATAGTCAGAACGTGCAGAGAACCTAAATGCCCCTTGATTAAGGAATGGATAAGAAAATGTGGTTTATTAAACAATGGAGAAAAAATTAAACACAGGAAAAAAAAATAATGACATCTTGATATTTGCAGGCGAATGGATGGATCTAGAAAACATCATATTGAGTGAGATAACCCAGACCCAAAAAGACTAATATCATTTGTGCTCACTCATAAGCAGATTTTAGACACAAAGCAAAGAAAATCAGCATACAATTCACAATTCCAGAAAACCTAGACAACAATGAGGATCCTAAGACAGACATACATGGATCTAATCTGCATGGAAAGTTTAGAAAAAGACAAGGTCTCCTGAGAAAATTGGGAGCATGGAGACCATGAGAGAGGGTTGAATGGGAGGGGAGAGCAGGAAGGGGAGTAGACAAAAATGTATAGCTCAAGAAAATAAAAGAAAAAATAATAACACAAGGGACAAGATAAAAGATTACTCTCCCATAGCAGTAATACATCCTAAAAAAAGGTAAACTTATTCTCAGGTATACCACAAGCATTGCCCTCAGGCCATTTGATTTGACTTCCACATGCAAAACAATCTCACTAACAATTCAATACTCTACAGCTCTTTGTAAATGCCTAATTGTGCAAGTGTTAGAGTCACTTCATTTTATGTCTCAGAATAACATATTCCACAAAAAAGGAATAAGGAAAAAAGTGATAGCAGTTTATCATTTTCAATTGCAAAAAGGTTTTATTATTCCAAGTGTTCTGTTTTCCTCTAGTCTCCAATGAAAACATGTTTACAATCTAAAAAGAAGACAATATTTTACTGACTTAATGTCTTAACTCATCGGGTCGAGTTGATATACCAGTGAGAAATGTGTATGGTGTGCAAAGCTGGTAACCTAATCTCGATCACCATATAAAGAGAGCCAAAAGTCAACACAACAATCTTGTTTTATGGTCTCCACATACTAGTCAGGCCTAATACCCCATAATCGTATCACATACATATAACAGAAGCTTTTTTCAAATAAATCTCATTGATTTTACATTATCTAGCATCTCTGAACAATTCCCTTAGAAGGAACCAATTTATGATGAAGTAACAAATGGATAACTAATGGGGACAGGAAGATTTATAGAACTTTAAATTATGTATATATACCATTAGGATATCAAGCTATACTGTGAAATATGCAATTGATGGCTTATTTTTCTACATTATTATACCTCTACCAGTTTGAAGAAAAGGTTGTTTTGAATACACATGAGGTATTTTATGTTTTTTTTATATTCTCTATTAAGCATTTTAACATTAATTTTGTTAAGTGTTGACAAAAGAGCAAATGTTGGGATATATCATCGACCTTTATACTTACACTCAAGTAACTAACACATGAGAGTTATTAGTTTGAATATATCCATAACTAATTATTGACATATAAGCAAGCCTGGATAACATTGTAAGGGAATTTGTAAAGATATGGAAAACAAAACAAAGAAAAACAATTACCTCCCCTTTAACAGACACCCTTACTTGAAAAGCATGATCACACACTGCCTGATATTTAGTGAACAATGTAACACTTAGATGATGGGCATCTCATTCTATATATTTCAGCAGAAAATTACCTATCTCTCAGTAAAACCAGCCACAGCAGGAATACAAAGACCACAAAATAACCTTCACTTAATGGATTCGCTAAACCTATAGAACACTTTAATATCTATCTCCGACATTGCAAATTGGAAAACACAATGCGGTGATCTCTACCATCAGTCTTGAATGATGATAGTAAATAATTATGAAAAACACATGAGACAAAAATTTCTTGAGACTATGCCAACTGTGATGTCTAAAGTCTATAACAGATAATTTACATGAAGAGGGTTTGTCTTTTGTATGAGTTCTTCCCTGATTCCTGATATCAAGATGATTAAAAAGTTTGAAAAATATTTACAGGCCTAGAAACATGAAAAAGCAGTTATATTCAGTTTATTCCATCAGGTTTTTGAGAACTTCCTGTACTTCCTGCTTCAGGAATACACAACGGTTTAACCTTCTTGGGAAAAAGCATGAACATTCATATACCACACAAACACAAGGACATCACACAATTAAATTAAATAAATTTATTATCAAATATACCAAAAACAGACTGCAATTTTCAGTCATGAATGTTTCTCTAATAGGCATTCATCCCTGTAACCCACATGCTAAGGCATTTAAAGGTTTACTTACAGAGTTTTTCTTCAACAAGAATGGGTTTGTGTAAGAAAAGGCAAGCATGTAGACTTGAAGTTAGAGAAATTAATCTTTCTAAATTGTTGGCAACATTTGGGAAGATTTAGGAAACACAGTACTCCTGGAAGAAATATGCCATGGGGGTTGTGGCTAAGGGTGTACATCCACATGTCATTTCAAGTTCCTACCCCTGGTTCGTGCTGCAGACAGAGGATATGAGTTCTGAACATGTTTTCATGACATTTTCATGGTGATCCTGTAAACCTCTGGAACCCAAAGTCAAATTAAACTCTAAATTAAAAAATTGACTTAGACATTATGCTTTATCACAGACACAGAAGAGGCCCCCTCATACACATCTATAAAATTTTACATTTGGATAAGTGCATTTATGCAATTGAAGAAAAGTGTAAAATCAATGAATTCACAGAACAACTATCCATATAATTTTACTGGTACAAACAAAGTAGAAAACTCATAATGCTTAAACAGACGGCTGACACTTGAAGATGTTTTTCTTTACAGTTTTATTTACATAATTGTATGCTGCCTGAAAATATTACCAAACATGTATAGTCACATTCCCTTCAATATGAATCTTCTCAAGTCCTCAAAGAGTACTGTGATATGCAAAGGCTTTAAAAGACCTATTATTTACTAAAAGTTTTACTCTTGTATAAAGCCTACCAAGAAGAGGGAAACTTTAGCACACTCATTATACTTAAAGAGTTCCTCTGGTCAGACTGTGGTGGCACACCCCTCTAATCCAGCACTAGAGAGGCAGAGACAGACAAATCTCTGAGTGCAAGGTGAGCCTCTTCTATGGGTGAGTGCAAAGACAGACTACAATACTATGGAAAAACTTTGTCTCAAAAAAAAAAAGTTTCACTGCAGTATGTTTTTTCTCATGATTTCAAAGCCTAATGACACATATAAAGGTTTTACCACATTAGCTAAATTTGTACGGTTTATATTCAACATGTGTTCCTTGGTGGATGTAAAGACTTTACATTGATTACAGTCATAAGCTTTCTCTCCAGTATATATTCTTTTGTGAAGTTGGAGGCTACTAACATATTAAAAGGCTTTTTCACATTGATGACATTCCTAGGGTTGTTTTTTTCCTGCTATGTGTTCTTTTCTGTATTTGAAGTTTAGAGCTCTGTGAAAAATCTTTATCACATTGCTTACATTCAAAGGGCTTCTCTTTTGTATGTGTGTGTGTTTTTTGTTTATCTGTGAAGCTGGCCATCACATGCAAAAGTTTTATCATATTGACTACATTCATAAGATTTCACTTCAGTGTGTGTTCTTTAATGATTTTGGTGACTACTAAGTTGTGAAAAGTCTTTACAACATTGATTTTATTCATATGTTTCATGTAAAGTATGTGTTTTTTTATGTGCTTTGAGACTACTAAGTTGTGTAAAGGCTTTATCACATTCATTACATTCATATGGTTTCTCTCCAGTATGTGTTATTTTGTGTTTTTTGAGACTACTATCCTGTGAAAAGGCTTTCTCACATTCATTACATTCATACGGTTTCTCTCCAGTATGTGTTCGTTTGTGTTTTTTGAGACTACTAAGTTGTGAAAAGGCTTTATCACATTGATTACACTGATAAGGTTTCTCTCCAGTGTGTGTTCTTTTGTGAAGCTGGAGAACAGTGACATAGGAAAAGGATTTTCCACATTGATTACATTCATAGGGTCTTTCTCCAGTATGTATTCTTTTGTGTATTTGGAGCTTAGAGCGATGTGAAAAAGTTTTATAACATTCATTACATTCAAATGGCTTTTCTCCAGTATGTGTTTTTTTATGTCTGTTAAGCTGGCCGTGACTCTCAAAAGCTTTATCACATTGATTACATTGATAAGGTTTCTCTCCAGTATGTGTCCTTTGATGTATGTGGAGAGCACTGTTCTGTGAAAAGGCTTTATCACATTCATTACATTCATATGGTTTCTCTCCAGTATGTGTTATTTTGTGTTTTTTGAGACTACTATCCTGTGAAAAGGCTTTCTCACATTCATTACATTCATACGGTTTCTCTCCAGTATGTGTTCGTTTGTGTTTTTTGAGACTACTAAGTTGTGAAAAGGCTTTATCACATTGATTACACTGATAAGGTTTCTCTCCAGTGTGTGTTCTTTTGTGAAGCTGGAGAACAGTGACATAGGAAAAGGATTTTCCACATTGATTACATTCATAGGGTCTTTCTCCAGTATGTATTCTTTTGTGTATTTGGAGCTTAGAGCAATGTGAAAAAGTTTTATAACATTCATTACATTCAAATGGCTTTTCTCCAGTATGTGTTTTTTTATGTCTGTTAAGCTGGCCGTGACTCTCAAAAGCTTTATCACATTGATTACATTGATAAGGTTTCTCTCCAGTATGTGTCCTTTGATGTATGTGGAGAGCACTGTTCTGTGAAAAGGCTTTATCACATTGATTACATTCAAAGGGCTTCTCTCCAGTATGTGTTCTTTTATGTACTTGAAGATGATGATTATATGCAAAGAATTTACCACATTCAGTACATTCATAGGGTTTCTCTCCAGTATGTGTTCTTTCATGTCTTTGGAGTCCAGAGCGCCGTGAAAAAGCTCTATCACATTGATTACATTCAAAGGGCTTCTCTCCACTATGTGTTCTTTCATGTCTGTGAAGTAGGTCATGACATGCAAATGCTTTACTACATTGATTACACTGATAAGGTTTTTCTCCAGTATGTGTTCTTTGGTGTAGTTGGAGAGCATAGTTCTGTGAAAAGGCTTTATCACATTGATTACATGTGTAGGATTTCTCCCCAGAATGTGGATTTTTATGTTTTTGAAGCTGACCATGACTGGCAAGAACATTACTGCATTGATTACACTCATAGTGTTTCTCTCCAGCATGTGCTCTTTTAAATATTTGAGGACAACTGCAGCATGCAAAGGCTTCATCATGTTGAATACAATCATATGGGTTCTCTGAAGAATGAATTTTTTCATGCCTGTGAAGAAAACTGTAACATGCAAAGGATTTAACACATTGTGCATATTCAGAGGGTTTCTCTCCAGTATGGCTTCTTTCATACCTGCAAAGATAACTGGAACATATAAAAAATTTATGCATTACTCTAGTGAATTTTATTATCTGTATGAATTAATTTTATATGAGACTTTTTATGTATTTGAAAAAACTAGAACTACTCAGTTTTAAATAAGCTTTACCATACTTATTTCATTCTAAGATTGTCTTATAGTTTAATAGATACTGCATAACAAAGAGAACGAGGATAAACAAAGTAAGTACACAGTCCAACACTCATAGGGCTTTTCTTCAGTGAGAGTTTGTTGATGTCTTTCCAATGAAGTTGGAAAACTAATTAAATATAACCTTGTATCACATTCAACATGTCTACCCAAGGTTGAAATACTAAATTTCTTTCATATTTTCTCATTATTCTGAGAGAGTTCCAGTCATTCTTCACATATTCACATGCTCACTTGCTTGTGTTCAGAGTGACATATGATATTCTTATTAAAGGAAGAACAAATAAATGATTTTTTCCATTGAATTCACACAATTTGAGTTTTTGTTCCTCACAAACATGTGGAGTAGGGATTTAGGTTTCTCCACAGAAGCCTTTTTGACTTTCATAAACTAACCATTTCAATAAGGTTAGCAAAGCCACAGGTATATGAGTAACTCTAGCTTTACTACAGACTCTATTTCTCATACAGATTTGGACATATACTTATCATCTATTCAATGTCTATGCCTTTTGCAGTACTGGAGTTGCATAAACTATATGAATTGACATTTCTATGGCATAGTTCTCATGGGGCTATGATTCAATTGGTGGTATCAGTAAAACATTGTTTCCTTATCTTCTTTTTTTGAGAGGAATGCCTTGAAAACACCGAACAGCTACCCGATATGAAGGCATATGACTTTGTGAGAAATTGATAATGATCAATACATTTCAAGCTGTTCTTATTTATTACTGTTGTCTTGCTTAAAATCTCTCAGGACACATTAATTTTTTTCAATGGAAATTTGTATCAAAATTTACATAAAAATTACCTTCCATGTCTTCTAGCACTTGGACAATGTTCTCTGAAATTATGATCTTCCCAACTATAGCCTAAAATATAGTACCAGAAAATGGATGATATATTATTGGAAATTGTGCAAAATGTAATATCATAAATAAACAATGCAGTATTTATTCAGCCCATTCTTATTCTTTCTTAAACAAAACTATGCAAGAGAATCAATAACCAAGGCACAGTTGTCCCTTTACATTAAAATGTGAAGGGAAGTTCACAGTCTTACCTATGGCTGTGAGGTTCCTGTATGTCTCCAGCATCACATCTTTGTAGAGACTCTTCTGAGAAGGATTGAGCAAGGCCCACTCATCCCGAGTGAAGTCAATGTGCACATCATCATAGGTCACTGCATTCTAAAATAATCCAAACAATAGTAAAACAAAGTGTGAGCCTGACATGGTAAATGAATACTTCTTTTACTGTAATATATTCACATAATTCTTATGCTTCCTACAGTTCTTTCATGAAATAATGTAATCACCACTCACTTTAGAAATGAGCTGAAGAGGAGGCTCATATGTGCCATTCCTTGGCCCATTACATAGAATACAGCCTTGAGAAAGAAATGGCAATGAACAGACATACAGACAGAGACAAGCAAGCAGATCAACACTACTGAGAACACATCCGAAAAATAGTGTGGATGATTATTAACTAGAAAAGAGATGGGAAACTTGGGTATATTGGCTCATATCTTAATACCATCACTCAATGTAAAAGCAGATGAATTAAATTAAGTTGGATGCCAGTCAAAACCTATGCAGTGAGTTATAGGTAAGCCAGAGTTACACATTAATAAAACCCTGTCTTCTCACCAAAAATCATTTAAACAAAAAAATGTAAAAAGAAATCAGAGGTTTTTACTAAAGTTCCTCCAAAATGTTTTGCATTCTTGTAGTTCTGCATTCATCTTCCAGAACCTGCCATGGCCCAGTTATATTGTAGCATAATAAAACCTTACTAAAAAGGAGTACATGTTGAACAGTTAGAAATGGACCAAAGAAAACAGAACCACTGTAAATATTGATCATAAATATGACAGGGAAGTAAAATTGGCTCAGCATTTAAGTGGTCTTGCTGGTCTTGCGGAGAAGTGTGTTCAATTGCAAGTACTTAGATAGGGTTTATAACTATCCATTACTTTAGCTTTGTGTGTTCTGAGGCCTCTTCTGACCACTATGAGGAATAGGCACACATTTGGTACATACCCATGTGTAGCAAAATAAATGCATTCTCATTCAATAGAATTAAAAAAAAACAGGCAGAATGTCACACATCTCCAATCCATTGATTCAGAAGACACAGGTATTAATGTCATGGATACTGTTATCCTGGAAAAGAGAAGGATACCCTCCACCACAGTTCAAAATTAAGACATAGGGATTTTCAGCACAGCAGCAAATGCTTGGAATTTACAAAAATCTACATTCCAAACACATCAGTCAATAAAAAAACATAAAACAAAGCATGTGCTCCACTATTAATTTCTCTGTGCAGAGGGATATATCTCTCAGTGGATGTCATGATAGTCTAAGGAGATACTTTCAGGACAGCCAGAGTTACACACAAAAACATTGTCTTTCAGAAACAAAACTAAAAACAAAAATTTAAAATAAAAATCAGAGCAGCAAAAATGATTAACACTGAATAGCAATTGCTTCAACTGCATGTTTTGTCATTTAGTGATACCATCTATAATGGTGGTCAAGTCATGGCAGCAGGACACAAACAACCAGATATGAGTTGAAGCTATAAACATGTAAATCCAATCCCCAATGTGGAATTTCATTAAAAAGCCTTCTCCTAGTAAAGGTTCCACAAATACAACAAAGAAGGGCACCAATAATACCTCATTATATCTTGGAGCTTATCCTTCAATCAACTACATTCTGACCTAGATCTCTAAATGGCTATAGTCACCTCATGATGTAAAAGTATTTAGTCTAACTTCAATGATTGTCATAGGCTGCAACAGTCCCTGAAATGTTTAAATGTGAAGTCTTTTATAACATTTATGATAATGAATTGACATGGCCATACCCAGACCAAAAAACCCACACCTCCTACTACTGCCACTCTATAGGAGATTATGGAGGCCAACTACATTCAAACCACCACAGTGATGTAGCTGAATTTTGAGATAGATAGATTCCTAATTATCTGAAGAACTGCCATATTGATTTCCACAATGGCTATACAGGTTTGCAATCCCAGCAGCAATGGGGGAGTGTTCCCTTTATTCCACATTCTTGCCAGCATGAGATGTCACTTGTGTTATTGGTCTTAGCCATTCTGACAGGTATAAGATGAATTTTAAAGGTAGTTTTACTTTATATTCGCTAGATGGCTAAGGATGTTAAAAATTTACTTAAGTGTTTTTAAGACAGTTTAGATTCAATCTATTTAGAATTCTTTGTTTAATTCCAAACTGCATTTTTATGTGATTAATTTATTTGTTGATGTGTAGCATCTTGAGTTTTTTTTTCCTTCTGAGAAAGTAAATGTTAATCACATTAACTAACATGATATATACCCAAGATATAAGCCGGAAACAGGGAACTTAGACGTTCCTGATCCATCCTACACTTCCAGGTCATCCTGCAGGGGCTATACTGCCCAATACCTCCTCTCTCTTCCCATCCCATCCAGCTTACATCCATATCCCCCACCCCCTGTCTCCCTCCCTCCCTCCCCTCTTTGGCGGCATAGCACCTCCTAGCCTGCTTGGGCGCTGGGACCGAACCCGAATAGGGAGGGCAAAGGGGAGGACGGTAGTTCCTTTGTCTCCATAGCCTGCCTGCAGCAAGCAGGGTGGGCCTTTGTTTGCGAGCTACCCAAGCAGCGCAAAGATCCGATCTGGACACCAGGAGAAACATCACTGGGGAGTGACATCACTGGGAAGGTACATCAGTGGGCAAGAAGACCTGATCCTGTAAAAGGAGATCCATAGGGGAGCATTCGGAGGAAAAGATGGGCAGGCGCCAAGGCAAGAATTCACCCAATAATCTGAAAAAACAACATGAAACCACCAGAACCCAGCGACCTCACAACAGGAGGACGTGAACACCTTAATCAAGAAGAAGTAGAAAAAATTGACTATATGAAAATGATAGAGGCCCTTAAACAGCATATAAAAAAATGCCCTTATAGAAATGGATGAGAAGTATAACAGAAAGTTCGAGGAATTGAGTAAATCAGTGAATGATACCCTAGGAAACCAAGGAAAAACAATCAAGCACATAATGGAAACAGTTCATGACTTGAAAACTGAAATGGAGGCAAAGAAGAAAACACAAACAGAGCGCCGGCTGGACATGGAAAATCTAGGTAAACGAATAGAGACTACAGAAACAAGCATAACCAGCAGAATACAAGAGATAGAAGAAAGAATCTCAGATTCTGAGGATAACATAGAGAAAATAAATGCACTGATCAAAGAAAACAGCAAGTCCAACAAACTCTCATCACAAAACATTCAGGAAATATGGGACACAATAAAAAGACCAAACCTAAGAATAATTGGAGTAGAAGAAGGAGAAGAAGGGCAGCTCAACGGTCCAGAAAATATACTTAATAAAATTATAGAAGAAAACTTTCCCAACCTGAAGACAGATGTACCTATGAAGGTTCAAGAAGCATACAGAACACCAAATAGGCTGGATCAAAAAAAAAAAAAACATCTCGCCATATAATAATCAAAACACAAAATATACAGAATAAAGAAAGAATATTAAGAGCTGCAAAGGAAAAAGGCCAAGTTACTTATAAAGGTTAACCTATCAGACTTACACCTGACTTCTCTATGGAAACCATGAAAGCCAGAAGGACCTGGATAGTTGTACTGCAAAAACTAAGAGACCATGGATGCAAGCCCAGACTACTATATCCAGCCAAGCTTTCGTTCACTATAAATGGGAAAAACAAAATTTTCCAGGATAAAAACAAATTTAAACAATACGTAGCCACAAATCCAGCCTTACAGAAAATAATAGAAGGAAAATCACTAACCAAGGAGTCCAACAATGACCACAATAACTCAGACATCTAGAGACCCTTCACCAGCGCAACTCGAAGAAGGGAAACACACAAACCCTACTAATAAAAAAGTGACCGGAGTTAACAACCACTGGTCATTAATATCACTTAATGTTAATGGACTTAACTCACCTATAAAAAGGCACAGGCTAAGAGACTGGATACGAAAACAGGATCCAACATTCTACTGTTTACAAGAAACACACCTCAACCACAAAGACAGGCACCTACTCAGAGTAAAGGGCTGGGAAAAGGCTTATCAAGCAAATGGACCTAAGAAACATGCAGGTGTGGCCTTCTAATTTCTAACAAAGTTGACTTCAAACTTAAATCAATCAGAAGAGATGGAGAGGGACATTTTATACTCATAACAGGAACAATTCATCAGGATGAAGTCTCAATCCTGAATATCTATGCCCCTAATATAAAAGCACCCACGTACGTAAAAGAAACATTACTAAAACTCAAGGCAGACATCAAACCGCACACACTAATAGTAGGCGACTTCAACACGCCTCTCTCACCAATGGACAGGTCAATCAAACAGAAACCTAACAGAGAAATTAGAGAATTAACGGAGGTAATGAAGCAAATGGACTTAACAGACATCTATAGATTATTCCACCCAAATAAGAAAGAATATACCTTCTTCTCTGCAGCTCATGAAACCTTCTCAAAAATTGACCACATACTCGGTAGCAAAGCTAACTTACAAAGATAAAAAAAAATATTAGTAACCACCTGTGTCTTATCAGATCACCATGGATTAAAGTTAGAATTCAACAACAATGCTACCCCCAGAAAGCCTACAAACTCATGGAAACTGAACAGTCAACTACTGAACCATACCTGGATTAAGGAAGAAATAAAGAAAGAAATTAAAGTCTTCCTTGAATTCAATGAAAATAAAGATACAACATACTCGAACTTATGGGACACTATGAAAGCAGTCCTAAGAGGAAAGTTCATCGCACTAAGTGCCCACCTAAAGAAAACAGAGAAATCACATATTAGAGACTTAACAGCCCACCTGAAAGCTCTTGAAAAAAAAGAAGCAGACTCACCTAGGAGGAGTAGAAGACTGGAAATAATCAAACTGAGGGCTGAAATCAACAAAATAGAAACATAGAAAACAATCCAAAGAATCAATGAAACAAAAAGCTGGTTCCTGGAGAAAATCAACAAGATTGATAAACCCCTATCCAAACTAATCAAATGGCAGAGAGAGAATAGGCAAATTAATAAGATCAGAAATGAAAAGGGGGACATAACCACAGACACAGAGGAAATTCAGAGAATCATTAGATCTTACTACAAAAGCCTGTATGCCACAAAACTGGAAAATGTAAAAGAAATGGACACTTTTTTAGATAAATACCATATACCAAAGTTAAACCAGGACCAGGTGAACAATCTAAACAGACCTGTTGGTTGCGAAGAATTAGAAGCTGTTGTCAAAAACCTCCCTACCAAAAAAAGCCCAGGACCAGATGGTTTCAATGCGGAATTATACCAGAACTTCCAAGAAGAGTTAATACCTATACTCCTTAATGTATTCCACAATATAGAAACAGAAGGGTCATTGCCAAATTTATTTTATGAAGCTACAGTTACTCTGATACCAAAACCACACAAAGACTCAACCAGGAAAGAGAATTACAGGCCAATCTCACTCATGAACATTGACGCAAAAATCCTCAACAAAATACTGGCAAACCGAATCCAAGAACACATCCGAAAAATTATCCATTATGATCAAGTAGGCTTCATTCCTGAGATGCAGGGCTGGTTCAACATACGAAAATCTATCAATGTAATCCAACATATAAATAAACTGAAAGAAAAAAAACCATATGATCATTTCATTAGATTTCATTTGACAAAATTCAATATCCATTTATGTTAAAAGTATTGGAGAGATTAGGGATACAAGGGTCATACCTACATATAATAAAAGCCATATACAGCAAGCCGACAGCTAACATCAAATTAAACGGAGAGAAACTCAAAGCCATCCCGCTAAACTCAGGAACACGACAAGGCTGTCCACTCTCGCCATACCTCTTCAATATAGTGCTTGAAGTTCTAGCAATAGCAATAAGACAACATAAGGGGATCACGGGGATTCGAATTGGAAAGGAAGAAGTGAAACTTTCGTTATTTGCAGATGATATGATAGTGTACCAAAACTCCACCAAAGAACTTTTACAGCTGGTAAACAGCTTTAGTAATGTGGCAGGATACAAGATCAACTCCAAAAAATCAGTCACCCTCTTATACACAAAGGACATGGAAGCAGAGAGGGAAATCAGAGAAGCTTCACCTTTCACGATAGCCACAAACAGCATAAAATATCTTGGGGTAACTCTAACCAAGGAAGTGAAAGATCTATTTGACAAGAACTTTAAGGCATTGAAGAAAGAAATTGAAGAGGATACCAGAAAATGGATGGACCTCCCTCGCTCTTGGATTGGGAGGATCAACATAGTAAAAAGGCAATTCTACCAAAGGCAATTTATAGATTCAATGCAATCCCCATCAAGATCACATCAAAATTCTTCACAGATCTGGAGAGGACAATAATCAACTTTATATGGAAAAACAAAAACCCCAGGATAGCCATAGCTGTTGAATAAAGAATAATCACAGTACAATCAACAAACCCAGAGAGAATAAGTAACAAGGATGACTGTAGTAGAGGGTGCATAGAGGCCTCATGCAAAGAGGAACTAGACTAGATTTTGTGGTTGCACTTGGAACAAGAAAAGGAAGTATCAGGGGTGGTGTGGAAACAGTGCAGTAGCAACTTTCTACAAGCTAAAAGGTGACTCTAGTGAAGACTCCCAGTAACTCAGATATGGAGCCTGAACTAGTCATCTTTTGTAATCACATATGGCCCCCACTGGTTGGACTAGAAAACCTAGGAAACCCTAAAATATTTGACACAAACTTGTTATGTCTGTACGATATACCAGGAAAATGGTGGCTCAAGTTTGGTATAGTGTCAAACCAATGACTGGCCTAAATTGAGGCCCAAGGTTGCCAGGATGAAAGCCTACATGTGCAGGAATCAGAAGATGGATGGGTCAGAGTACTAAAGTAGAACCAAATCCAAGTAACAAAAAAGAAAAAAAAGTCAATATAATGATAACTAACTCTATGTCCAACAGCTTTCCCACTCTCCAATTTTTTTTCAGCTTTGTTGAGTCCAACACACATCTTATTTGTTGGCTGGTTTCATTCCCCATTAGCAGCTCTCCTCATCAGATATCCTCTGAACCTGGCATCTTGCATAATTAAAAAATTCCATCCTTCCAATATCTAAGATTCGCTTATGATCTCCCAGGCTCCTCATAGGTCTTGTTAATACACTGACTCTGTCCTCTGTAGGATACACAGCTGGTCTTCTAGACTCTGGATGACTCAATTCCACTGCCACTGCTGTTCTTGCTCATCACATTACAGTGCTGGCTTCTATGAAACACTGGGGGCTTCTGTTGCAACTGGGCTGCATTTTCACCAGTGGTCTCTCATAGGATCTCCTCAGGGTGTCACGTCTCAACTTTTTGGCATGTCCCTTCATGCCAAAGTCCTGGGCCTTCAAGTGCCAATAAGACTGCACCTTCTCCAATGGACTTTCTTGCCATCCCACAGTGCCATGCCTCACTTTCATCCATACCTTCAAAACCAGTACCACCAGGTTGACACATATTACCAAGTCCATCTAGCAGCATGAGGTAAAACCTTGGCTACCTTTGGAAGACAGCTTCTCTGTACTCTTAGGAAACACTTCCCAGACATTTTCACATCAGCGAAGCTGGTCTCTTAGCTCCAGCCAACCAGAATCATGTACCCAGCAAAGTAGAATTTTGCTTAAATACATCTGATAACTTGCTCATCACAGCTGATACTTAAGACCCAGCCAACCAGAACCAGAGGATCTAAATGTCTTTCTCCTATCATTAAGACTTAAGCCAGAAGCACATGACCAAAGCTGTCAGGTTCTGCTGCTCATTGGGGCTGGAACTTGGCCCCTTATTTAATTATATTTCACCAGCTTTCTTTCTTTTACTGCCTAAGCTTGGCTGTCCTGAGAATTGCTCAGTAGACCAGGTTGACCTTGAATTTGCAGAGATAAGTCTCTCTCCGTAGGCTAGGATTGAAGGCAAGTGCCAACACTCCTTCAGGTCACCACTCCCCTTATTCCATTTCTTAATCCGTTTATGTTCTTGAACAGCGAATTTAGCTGCAATTCTACTTTTTGGGGCCCCTTTTTCCTCAAGCAAATTTTCTTTTTCTGCTGCTCCTTTCATTATATGTCTTCAGTAGAGTTACCACTAATATCCACATGACAGTCTATCCTAGTCTATTTTGAGAATTCTTCTGCCAACGGAATAATCAAAACCTTTTTACTTTAGCCTCAGGTAGGTTCTTTGGATGGAGGCAAATTGCAGCCACTCCCATCACCGAAATATCACAAGGATGATTTCTAGGCAACATACTAAAACCCTACTCTCAAATTTCTTGATCTGGCTCCCGATATTTCATATCATTATCAAGGTCACTCTCTCCCATGCTCCTCTTAGTATGGTCAATTATGCAGTCTTTAATGCATTTAAAACTTTTCCTAATCCAAAGTCCCAAAGTTCATATTATTTCAAGCAAAAGTATGGTCAGGCCTAGTATAGCAATACCCCAGTCCCTGGGACCAATTTCTGTTTTAGTTAGGTTTTTATTTCCATGAAGGATCACACTGATCATTCAAACTCTTATAATGAAAACATTTCATTGAGGTGGCTCACTTACAATATCAGAAGTTGAGTCAATTATCATCATGGCTGAGAGCATATATGCAGAGAGCCAGGTATGACGCTGGAGCCTGTAGTACCTCCATCTTGACTCAGTGGCAACACCAAGTCATCTGACATACTTCCTCTGACCAGTCTATGCCCACACCAAAACGGCCACATCTCCCACTACTTCCACTCCCTCTTTAATTATGGGGGCCAACTACATTCAAACTACCACAGTGGTATAGCTGAGTCTTGAGGTAGATAAATTCCCAATGATCTGAAGAACTGCCATATCAATTTCCATAATGGCTATACAGGTTTGCAATCCCAGCAGCAATGGGGAAGTGTCCCCTTTATTCCACATTCTTGCCAGCATGAGATGTCACTTGTGTTATTGGTCTTAGCCATTCTGACAGGTACAAGATGAATTCTTAAGGTAGTTTTGATTTGCATTCCCTTGATGGCTAAGGGTGTTGAAAATTTACTTAAGTGTTTTTAAGCCAGTTTAAATCCAGCTATTTATAATTCATTGCTTTAATCTTTACCACACTTTTTTTTGATCATTTATGTTGTTGATATCTACTTTCATGAGGTCGTTTTTATTCTGAGCATGTAAATCTGGAACCACACAGACAAACATGATGTATACTCACATGTAAGTGCATATTAGCTATTCAATAAGGAATTATCACAGTACAATCCACAGACCCACAGAGGGTAAGTAATAAGGATGGCTGTAGCTGGGGATGCACTGATTTCCCGTGAGAAGAAGAAACAGACTAGGTTTTATGGGTGGACTGGGGGCACCAATGGGGAGGATCTTAGGAGTAATGGAAGGAAAGTGGGAAAGAATACAGGGAGAGATGACTGGAAAAGGGAAGCTTTTAGGGTTGACATAGAAACATAGTTCAGTGGAAACCTTCTGCAAAATATGACAGTGACCCTAATGAGAACTCCCAGTAACTAATAATATGGAGCCTGAAGCAGCCATCTTCTGTAATGACATATAGCTCCCAGTGGTGGAATTGGGAAAAAAAAGCCAACCATAAAATATTTGACACACACTTGTGTTGTCTGAAAGATATACCAGAGAATTGGTGACTTAAATTAATGTTGTGGCAAACCAATGACTGGAGCAAATTGAGGCCCAAGCCAAAAGAGGTAACCCATGACCAACATTACCTGGATGGCAATGAATAAGAAGTTTGATGCCTCAGGGATTTAGAGCAGAACAGAATAGAAGTAGCAAAAAAGAAAACAATGGCCAATATAATGATTCCCAGCTGTACTCTGATATAATCAAAGATTGCTTCCTGGTCTAATTGTCATCAGAGGGGTTTCCTCTGATAAATAATGGTGGCAAAAACAGAGAACTTCACCCACACACTAGCTGAAGCACTTAAAAGGATGCAGAAATTTGGATGGAGGTTTCAAAGAAGTCAGAGGTGTTAAGGATGCCAGAAAAACACAGCCCACAGAAGCAACTAAGAAGGGATCATAAGGGCTCAAAGAGTCTGACAGAGCAATTATGGATCTTACAGGGTCTGAGTCCGATCCTCCCCTTTTCTTGGCGATTTTGTGGGACTCTTAACAGTAAGAGTGTGATTGTTTCTGACGCTTTTGCTTTCTCTTGGGACTATTTTCCTCATACTAGCTTGCTTAATCCTCCATGGATATCAAGGATTGGGCCTAGTTTCATTGTATTTTGTCATGATGTTCAGTTGACATCCCTGGGAGGCAGGCCCTCTCTGAAGAGGAAGAAATGAACAGTGGAAAGTTGGGGCAGTGGGAAAGTTGGGGATTAGAAAGAATAGACAGAGTTGTCGATGTGGTCAATATGTACTATAGGAGAGAAGAATTAAAAAAGAGAATAAATAAAAAGAAATGAAAAGTCTAACTTCATGGTCCCCACAATCTTAAACAGCTCCAATGCCGTTAAAATATTCAAAGTCCCCTCTGATCCTTAAGACAGAATATTGTCCTGTGACATCTTGTAAAATTAAAAAAACAAAGTAACTTTTTCAAACATACAAGGACACTGGATTTTTTCCCCCATTTAAAAAGTGAAGAACGTGCTGTGTTCCAGCCCCCAACTTGGGCAGGCATACCATACTCACATACAGACTACAGCAGCCAGAAGAACACTTAGGCTACCAGTCCATGAAATTTCTCCATTTCTTTAGTTTCCAGAGACATAATCCCCTAACAAAAGTCCAACCACCACCCCTGTAGCCATAACCCCACCCCCAACTGGGTGTGAATCCTTTGCTCAAGAGCAGGCTACACCAGCCAGAAGGAAAGGTACTTGAACTCAGACAAAGACTCCCTGTTGAAACAGAGTCCACACCAGACTTTAGAAATCCAGGCAGACTGCCCACCCATGGATTTCCTCCACTCTTTGAGTAGCTCCCCAAACATTATCCCTACTCCCACCTGCCTTCTTGTCACTGTGTCCTAGCTCCCAACATGGGTGGAGATATTGTAAAAAAGAAACATGAGCTGTGAGAGGTCCATGTAGGCCACAGACATCCCCACTCTCAAAGTTCCCCACACCGCACTGTCCCCATCCCTCCATATTTCCCCAGCCCCTAATTTGCGCAAAGACTCCCTGAAAGCCTGACAGAACCCAGACCACACCTGTCACCAGATTTCCAGCTGCAAACATGATCGAGGGAATCTCTGTTGAACCACAGGCCACAGAGACCAGAAGAACAAAGAGCAAATAGAAACCAAAAAATAAACATCAATTCAAAAGAGACAAAATGAGAAATATGAATGTAGATTCATAATCATCACAAACCCAGCTACATAGAGGGCAGCTTAAGAAGCAAACAACAGCCAGGGCAATACGTCTTCATCAGAACCCAACTATCTTACTACAACAAGTCCTCAATATTCTAACATAGCTATAGCATCAGTAACACTGTGTACGAGATGTCTCTGACTCTTACTTGGTCTTGGGACGCTATTCCTCCTATTGGGTTACCTCTTCAGGCCTTTATATGAGGGTTTATGTCTAGTATTATTGTAACTTGATATGCCATGTTTGGTTGGTATCCCTTGGAGATCTCTTTAAAGAAGGGAAATGGAGAAGGGGATCTGGAAAAAAATTGATCAAGGAAGGGAACTGAGAGGAGTGAATGGGGGGACTGTAGTTGAGATGAATTCTGTGAGAGAAGAATTTCAAAAAGAAAAGAAAAGAAAAGAAAAGAAAAAAGAGGAATGCAGAGACAGTGGGGGAAGATTGGCCAAAGCAAGATTATAAACCAACAAGACAAAATTCTGTATTTCTGTCTCAGAGACAAGGAGCTTCATCCTCAAAGAACTTAAATAGTTCTATCCCTGTAACATTTCCTTCGTGTCTCTCATTTGTTATTTACACTCTCTGTATGCATCTATCCATGGCAAATGCTTCATAGTTTAGTATGTCAGTATCTGATTTTCTCAAAAGAATACAAGATTCATCTTCACAGCTTCATGCAAAAAACTATCAAAGGCTCCTGACTAGGATACTGACCCTGCCAAACACAGATGGGTTCACCAGTGCTGAACTGAAACCACAGAGGAAGAATCCATGACCTTTACATTTGGCATCTTTATTGTTCCCAGAACCAGAACAACATGGGTGATTAAGGCAAGTTTGGCTACTAAGTTGTAATGGACCCATCCAGAGTTGCTTGGACCAGAGTTGCAGCAGGTTTTGTAGAAAGTTGATTCCTGGAACTTGGAATCACATTTCTTACTCCTTCCAATAACTGAAGGTCAAGCTGGATGGAAGCTTATACCCTTAGAGCACCTTGCTAGGCTTCCACTATAGAGCAATGGGCTTTTCTTTAATGGTGACAATCTACTTCAAAATTTTTATCTGTTTCTCAACAGGACAGCCATTTGAAACTCCCCAATGCTTTTTTCCTCTATCAAACAGACTTTT